CTCTAATTGAAATTTTTCGTGCCACGTATATCTTATTACGCATGTGATTACCATAGTGGCAGCCAGTCAGTTACTTTTTTTGACCAATAGAAATGATGAAATGACGCCCACCAGCCTTTTATCTAATTAAATATACAGCAGCCAGTTGCACACGAAGTGGACCTACTGTATATTTCCTATACTGTGTTCTAAACACCACATTTTGAATCTCTTCAACACAATAGTTATTTTTTTCATCTAACTTTTTTTTCCAGAAAAACAAAACACAAGCTAACCAGTGAAGACTTCAATCCATTCTTATGCCTAATGCATGAATCTCGCGCCTAATATAGCAATGCTTAACATGTTCAAAGACGATTATTGACGTTGAATGTCGTGGTTTTTGTGATAACTTGATGTTTTGAGAGATAACAATGTAGACGATTGCTTTGTTAACACGTTATGTGAATGAAAATTTACATTGGAACATGATTCCAAGCCATTTCCTGGAAAGACAGACGACGATAGTGAACCATGTTTTACGTTGAAGCTGGTGGCGTGGTAGTTACTCCACATGTGATATTTTAATGTTTTAAAAATATGTGATGGCTTACGATTTCTTAATACTTCATAAATATGAAAATTCATATTGGACAATGAAAACGAACCATATCCTTCGAACCACCAGGGATTGAAAGAATAAGAAAATGTTCAAGGTTTTCATGGTGCGTAAGTAAAATATCTGTCTAACGTTTAGAATTTTCTTATGAAGATAAGTCACATGAGTGTATGGTAAAGCAGATCCCGATGGTCTATTGTTTGAATAAGACTTCAACCTTAAGAAATAGGAAATATTTTGAAATTATAATTTTCTGTTTTATTTGATAAAAAGCAAGCCTACGTGCCTGCAAGTTAATAGCTGGCTTTCACTTATTCATTATTATTTGAAAAAGATCACGAGTACTGTAATTAAAAAAAAACAATTGCAAGTTATTTTGTTTTGTTTCATATGGTGTAGCTTACACCTTTACCATGAACAATTTTTTCATCTACAAAAATATTTCGTGAAAGAAACTTTGGATATCAGGTAATACTTCTTTATATTTTTTATTTACTTTACGAGTTCTTTATTTAGCGTGATGACATTCTTAACTTTTACTATTTAGACGATACGTTCCTATGCCTACTTACAACAGAACAAAAGGATTGCAATTTCAGAAAGTAAACAAAGGAAAAGTTGAACAGAAGGATGAAAAGAAAAGGTTCTACTTAAAGAATGCGCACTGAAAATTTTTCAACTCATAACGTAAAATCTTTAAATTATGCATGCAAAACTGTACTTTTGTAAAAAAGTCTTTAAAAAAGCTCACTAGTGAAAACCAGCTATTGATAATGTTTCAATAAAGTAAGGTTTTGAAAAAGTTAAATATCATTAGCCTTACGTCGAACCTCATTTCCATAATATCTGTGACGTCACTTTAGTTATTTCATTGTTATATGTGCATGCGCTAATGTTGCATAGATGTAAGTGTGAAATTCGTTATGCGAAGATTGTAATTATTTTTGTTTCTCGTTTTCTCATCAATTCAAAAGTTTTGACTTTCATTGCTTGCTAAGGCATTTATGTTCAATCTAAATATTCATTTTCTCCATGTCATTTACAATACATGGTCTCTTAAAACAAAATTGTAGGACTGAAACGTATAGTCTGGCCACTTCAATATAAGGGCGAAGGTTAATCGAGCCCGAGTTTCATTTCCTAAAATGCATCCTTTTTTATCAAATTTATTATTTATTTCTTTAGAAACTCAATTCCACTCAATGTTTAGCGAGTGAGTGAACACAAAACTATTTTCACTTTTAAAAAAACTGACTGCCTATCTTCGCCACTGGATACAATAGATCATTTGGATCACAAAATAATGACAGAGAGGTAAAACGGAAAACATTATTTACCTCACACAAAATAATTTAAAATCAAAAAAAAATTTCCAGCTTTTTTCTTTTGGAAGGTTTTTCACTGGATCCGCTGGTTTTCCCTCCGTTTCGTTTCGTTTCGTTTCGTTTCGTTTCGGAAAAACACCGTGTCCATATTTGGGGCCAAACAAGGCGTTTGTTATCAACATTGCTATCACTAAACATTGAAGTTTCTTTTCTAATTTAATTTTGGCCTTCGGGGGTATGTCCCGAAGCAATGAATGAAATAAAAACGTTAAAAGTAAGAAAGAAGGCTAAGGTGATTTTATTTTAAAATCTCCAAAGGCTTTGAGTCAAGTTTTGTGTAGATGATAAAAAACTGAACAATAGATTTTCCAGATTGCTCACGTTAGACACAGTAATATATAGTAGTTCCACAGCTCGAATTGCGATGCAGTATGCTTAGTTATATTTTTGGATGCAGTTCGCCAACTTCTTAGCTCGCATTGCCAAAAAAGCAATTGTCTGCCTGCCATTATAGTAAAAACATACGTAATAAGATATGCGTGGTGCAAAAAATTAAGTGAAGTGATCCTTCTGTATACTCTTTATTCTGAGCTTTTGACAATGTTTTAGAAATTGGCTTTCAATTTAAAGCTTCAACAGATTGAATTAGCGTTGCGCAACCATGTTTGAATTACGGTTGTATCTATTCCTACTCGTGCATTGTCATGTTAACTATCAAACATGTAATTTTTATTATCTTCGCTTATATATCTCACGTTTACATTATACATTGTACTTAACTCAACCAGTTCTTTTGCACTCCCTTGAGGAGGCATAAACATGGGCGTATGAATATCGCTAATTGGGGATACTGGTGGATTATCCAGTAAGCTGAGTAGGCTTAAGCTTAAGGCCAGTTGTATCTTGGACACAATTAGGATTTGAGCGTTTTTGCTTTACGGGCCAGCTAAATGTGCTTTAGGGGATGATTACATGATCCCAGTAGCCAGGGATTCAGCCAAGCGTTAAATGATTTTGGCAAATGGAAACGATTCATTACTAATCATCAGATAAATCTTCTAAAGCAGTTTCACAATTTTCTAATTTAATAACTTTTCAAAACATTTAAAATTGAAACAGTCACTTTTCCCTAATTTGAGAATTACAACTGGATTGACGTGTGGTGCTTTGCAAACAGTTTTAATTTTTAACCATGAAGTTTCGGCTCCTTTCAATCCCTTGAAATCCTCGGGCTAGCTCGCTCTCAGAGCCAGCTCGCTTCCATATAATCAGGCCTAACTTAGATAATTTACGCTGCTGAAATCTTACGAGCAATTGAATGCAGAGGAAAAATGGCTTTCGTACTTAATACTTTTCAAATGTTATATGCTCAGAACTCATTAAGTATTTACTTTCCCATGTCCCTGACCATGTCAATGATTTTTGAAATTTCTTTTTCACTTTAAAATAAACTTTCCCCATTTTTTACCCTATAAGGTTACTAACAGGAAATGCAGAGCAAAGGAAAACTGTATTTAGTGGGAGGAATAGGTATCGCTTAAAGGCCCTTAACTTTGTCTTAGACTACAGGCGCCGTATTTAGTAATCCTATGCTCATATGCATGATTTGCATGCAGTATTAAGCTCCATTAAAATCCATTCAACGGATGATGCATCGTGAAAATTTAAATAATTAACAATCTAGCTATGCCCAAAATGCCTAATAATTATTTTTAGCTCAAAATCCTTTGCATAATGATTGCTTTGAAATAATAGCAATAAGTCAATTTACAATTGAAACCTGGTTCACACGAGTAAAATAAGCACGAACGTCGAGGCTTTTCCTTCTATTGCTCTAGAAGTTTATAAAGACAAAGACATTGGGACTTTCTTTAAATTTTCTTTTTGTTCTTCTTTTGTTCTTCTAGCTTATGCTTGAATTTTTTCCTTATGCTTGCGCTTATGTCGGTGCTTATGTCACATGCTTCGATGATTATCTTCGTTTATGATTATCGATGATTATCTTTTGTCTACGTACTTATCCTTATTTCACTCGTGTGAACCAGGCTTAAGACTTTCTTTTTTACACTTCCTATAGTTAGTGCTTGTGGACTTAGGGCTGTTCATATGAGCCCGGTAACCGGGATTCAGCAAAATGATTTTGAATCATTGAAAGGAGTATAAACTTAAAGCGCAAAAGTTACACCTTTTCTTACAAGCGTCATTTGTCATTTTAGTCAAAACTTTTAAATCAGGACAAAATATTTGTTTTCATTTTAAAGGTTTTGTGAATTTGCAAAGTCAGAGCATAGAGAAATTGCTGAAATAAGTTTTTGTTGTGAAGTATTTAATCTTTTTCATTTGCCAAAATGATTTAATGCTTCGCTTAATCCCGGCTACCGGGCTCATGTGAACAGTCTCTTAAGCCTGGTTTACACGAGTGCAATAAGGATAAGCACAAGCGTAGACAAAAGATAAAACAAATATAGTTAACGAAGTACATGACATAAGCATCGACATGAGTGCAAGCATTAGGAAAAAATTCGAGCATAAGCTAAGAGAAGAACAAAAGAAGAACAAGAAGAAGATTCAAAGAAAATCCCAATCTCTTTGTCTTTATAAATCTCTTGACAGCAATAGAAACTAAAGTCTCGATGTTTGTGCTTATTTTACTCGTGTGAACCAGTCTTAAAGCATCCTCTTGAATTTTTGTATATTATTAAAAACTTGTTTGTTCGTTGTGGTTATGTAAATTACAGACGAGTTATGAAATGAACACTTGCGTTGAAAAAAACATTGGGAATAAGCGTTCTTCATGAAGGAGCTTATACTTATTGCGTTATCTAGATAATATAATCTCAATGAAGGTTCGTGAGGACTTTCATTCTTGTCTCACGTGCTACTTGTTCTAACGGTAAACAACAAACATATGGTCTTGTGGCGAAGTTCTTTGTTCGTAAGTACACAACGACCTACGTTTCCTTTGATGCTATCGACCTTTCCTTTTCTAAGGTAAATTAGATAGAATACGTTATTACGAAAAATTGCCGGAAAACGATAAAACAGTATATTTTTCTATTCAGGTGTTCAACGTGTGAATGGGTTCAGCAGTTAAAAATGTTGACATATTGTCTTTTGACGGTGGTGGAAGTCGAGGTGTGATGGAAGTGTTTATCTTGAATGACGTTTTGCGGTTGGCAACAATTGTGTTGAGAAATCCCTGGACATTGAATTATCTTGTAAAGGAAAGTAATGATGAAAGCAAAGTAAATTTCTTGGAAAATCGTGCAGTTCGAAAACGTCTGATCAATGATTTGAAAGCAGTCAAAGATCCCATTCATCCTGCCGATATTTACGATATGATAGTTGGTACCAGTACAGGTGGCCTTGTTGCGTTTGGTTTGATTGGTGGAAAAAGAGTTGGAAAAGATCACCATGAAAGAGAACGGATGAGTGTTGATGAATGCATTCAGATGTATCTTACAAAAACCAAGCTCATCTTTAAAAAGTCGTGGATGCAATTTTTTCTTTCTTTTTTTCCAATATTGTCCAGCATTCCTTTTGAAACATATTCACAAGCCAACGTAAAGAAAGTTTTGACGGATCAGTTTGGAGATTGTAACTTGGAAGATTTTCACAAAATCAACGGTTCGAAATGTGTTGCTGGTGCTGTGGCTAGAAAGCTTGGTAGCAAGCAAAAACTGGAACTATTCGATACAGCAAGCGAAGACTATGAACTTTACAAAACTTACCAAGTTCTGCTCGCAACCTCAAATGTGCCAGTTTACTTTAATACACCTGTCCATATTGGCAATGAAGATTTTGTCGACGGAGGTGTTGGTGGAAATTGTCCCTTGGCACAAGCGATTCCGCGAGCAATGAAACTATTCGGAAAAGGTGGTGAACGCGTAAGAGTAACTTCTGCTTTGTCCATTGCCCCTCCTTCGTATTCCGAATCGGAAATTCCTGAAAGCCTTTCAAATTGGTTGCATTATTTTGTAAACAAAACAATTGATGGCAATGCAATATTCAAAAATGTTGTTAAAAACAATAGGAAAACTTCGTTTCAAAGGTTATCTCCACGTGGTGAGAGCTTGAAAAAAATTTCAACTGGATGAAATCGATGTTCGAAAGATGTTAACAGCCATGGAAAATGAAAAGGTACAAAATCACATGTTTCTTGTAGATGTTGTCGCCTCTGCAATGTTTGTCGTTCTCACATTTGTTGGTAAAGGAAAATATTGTGAGAAAACCTCCCTAAAATTTGCAGCAAAACTTGCTGAAGCTGTGGGACATGCGTACCAAAGCAAGAAAGAATATGACTCGGCAATATCTTCTTACTTCACAAGCACACGTTTGTGCGGAAAATTAAGCAGTGATTTTACCATGGTCAAGACTTCTTATAACATCGCAAAATGCTGGAAAGCACTGGGAAAGTATCAAAGAGCTATTGACCTTTTCAAATCCAACGTGAAGTACCTTGTTCGCAAACAAGATGATCCAAAGAGCGATGCGCTACTAGTTGATTCCTTGATTGACTTAGCAGACAGCTACATTACGACTTTTTCCTATGCTGAGGCAAAAAACTATTTGAATGAAGTTCTCAAAAATGACATCACTGAAAAGAAGGGATATGTACATGTCCTAACCTACATCGCATGGTGCGAACAGCAACTAGGAAAACTTGAGGAAGCTGTCAATCTTTATAAGAAGGCAGCCAAATTTACCATTAACAACGATAACTTTGACAATGCGAAAATTTGTAACAACGTGGGGTTATGTTTCTTAAGTCTTGGAATGAAAGAAAAAGCCAGCTATTTCGTTTTGCGAGCTAAAGATATGAGAGTTAGGTTAAGTGAACAGAAATATGATCCACTAGTGGCAGAATCTTTTAACAATGTTGGGTTATGCTTGATAGAGTATGGCGAATACGACAAAGCATATAATAATCTAATAAAGGCTAAAAACATTTACCATGAACTCGGAAATGAACTTAAAATTTCCATGGTATTAAGAAATTTAGCAATATGTCTGTCGTTGAAACATCCAGGTAATCATAATCGTGCAATGGACTACGCACAACAATCTCTAGATAACATGGGGAGAAATGTGGGTGATAATAATTCTGAAATTGCTAAAATCCTTTCGACCATTGGTTTGTGTCTCTTCAAAGCTGGACGTTTCGAAGAAGCAAAAGAGCATCTTTTAAAGGCTGCTGATATGATAGAACATTTGTTGTCAGAAAATCATCCATGGTTGGTCGAAGTTTACAAGCTTCTCTCCACGATTTCTGTAAAGGACGGCGACATGATGAATGCGGAAAGTTACAAAGGGAAAATGATAAGTATAGACGAAGAGATAGCAATTATGGCTAGGAATGTTGAAGAAACATTTAAATTGACATGGAAAAATAATCCAACTTCAGCATAAACTTTTTACTACATTTCATTTTACATGTTTCCTATGAATTGTATTTTTAGGAAGAGTGGAGATATTATTTTGTCATAAAATATCTAGAACTAGGTGATGTAATTTAATTTGCATTTAGTAATCACGTTATTGTTTTTCGAACAGTAACATGAATAAATGTAGTATTCTAATTTATTTATCATGATTAGAAAATTGCAAAGTCTTGTGCTTAATATTTGGAGAAATTAGCATGTTCACCATGAAGAGTTGTTGTGATTGCTTTTGTCATTTTTACTAATTTTGTCTTGCGTTATTTGTTTTCGAAGTTCACTGAAATAATTCTTATTTGCGTACTCGAGAGCTGTTGCATGCGATGGTTATATGTTGATGTATGTGATGGTAGAATAGTCGGCCTTCCCCCTCACCTGTAAATTTTGTCTCATTCAACAAATTTAAATCTAAATCTGCGTCACTCCCCCCTCCCCTTCAAGACCAGTAGAATTTTCAAATGTCTCGGGCGTTTATGAAATATTGTATGGTAAACGTTTTTGAATCAACTTGGCCACAGTTCACTAAATTTGATATTAACTCTGATCACATCTTGTTCTTCTGTATTATATTTAGATCCGTCGGGAGCAAATTAAGATTGAGGGAGAGCGGGGAGGTGTCTAATGTGGGACGACATTCAGAGATTTGTGGAGAAAGTGGGGATTTTCAAGGAGAAAGTGGGCATTTTCAAATTTTTCAGCATTTTAAAGTAAATAATTGTGTGTTTTGCATGCACGTCACGGCCGCCGTGTTGGCGAACAGACACGAAAGAATATTTTATCAATGCCATTGTGAGCACCAGCCGTAGTGGGCGAGCCATGTTGTTTTACAATTCCGTGGAGGTTGGTTGCAATTCAAGCATTGGGGGAAGTGCTGCAGCCTGCCCAACCTCGCCTTTCCTCTTCCAAGTGGCTTAACATTTGTTTATGTTTGTATGGTATTTGTAAATTAGGTTTATGCTTCCGAAAAAACCTTGTCTACTGGTTCTAATTGAACAATCTGGCCACTATTTGATCAATATGTCCTGTGAAATTTTTCATTAATTCGACCTTTTGGGTAGTATGATGCTGATATTGATAGTCAGGAAAACTCTCGAGTTACTAAAGAAAACTTGCCATGTATTGGTTGTTAATTCATTCTGTTTAATTTATAATTAAATTATTTCAGTCAATTTATTGAAATTAATGTAACTTGATAATATTACCATCATGTATTGCGCGCCTTCAAAAATTGTTAATCCACTGATTTAATCTAGAAAATCCACTGATAAAATCCGATTTAGGATTGCAAATATAAATGTCATGAGGTATTTTGCACACAATGTTGATGAAAATAAGGGGATAAAAATGAAAAACACACAAAAAAAGCAGATGAAAAGAGAACACATTTAATGACACTTTTCCAACATGGTGACCAGTGCTTCAAGGTATAAATTTTATTACTTTTTCATTCAACTGTAACGTTTTTATAGTTGATTACATCACTTTTTCTTAAACAAATACGCTTGTGCAATTTGGTTATTTACAAAGGCTGCTAGCAGTATAATACAAACAGCACATGTCCACCAACTAAAAGTATACAACCCAACCTTCCTTACAAACCAATTTGAATAGAGACTTAGGAAAATTACCAAACAACTGAGAATGAAAATAAGAGCTCCAGATAAAGCATGAAGTCTCTTTAATGTGACTAACTTTACTGTGTTAAATAATGGTAATTTGGGATACAGTAATCCAGTACCCATGGATATTTGAATACATG